CAGAAGCCCAGGCCTCTGCTGGCCACGCCTGGGATTTCTTTAAACTAACCAAAGACAGTTGAGGGATGTGCGACCGCATCCTATGTAACAAGACCCGGCTTGCGCCTGGCCAATCGGCAGGGCCCACAGTCCCCTCACTCCACCCCCTATTAAAACCCTGGTTTTTCTCACAGCAGTCACTCCCCCCTTCTGGCCGTTGGGTCAGAGGGGGCTGGGAGCCAGACCCGGGTCTGTACTACTAATAATAAAGGATCCTTTGCTTTTGCATCGAACATGGCTCCCTGTTGGTTTGTGGGGATCTTGAAATCTGGGTATAACACAAACAACCGCAGATCTGCTTTCTGTTACTATAAATGAGTTTATCTTTCCTAGAACTTCATATAAATGGAATCATAAAGTATGTGCCCTTTGAGGGGGTGTCTGTCTTCCTTCCATATACTAGTATGTAGAGTTTCACCCATGCTTTTTGTGTATCAGTAGTCAATTCCTTTCAATTGCTAAGTAGTTATATAGCACATATTGTTTCTCCAATCATCAGTTGATAGACATTTGGGTCATTTCCACTTTTTGCCTATTATGAATGATGCTGATATAAACATGCTTGTACAAATATTTTGTTTGGTTGGTTTTGTTAATCCTCACCTGGGAGTATTTTTTTCCATTGATTTTTAGAGAGACTGGAAGGGAGAGAGGGAGAGGGAGAGAAAAAAGGAGAGAGGGAGAGGGAGAGGAAGGCTGGGGATTGAACCTGCAACCCACGTACATGCCCTTGACTGTGAATGGGTCCTGTGACCCTTTGGTGCTTGGGCTGACGCTCTAATCACTGAGCATACCAGCAAGGGCACATGTACAAATGGAATTGCTGGGCCATATGATAACTCCATGTTGAACCACTTGAGGAATTGCCAGACTGTAGCATTTTACAGTGATTGTAGCATTTTAATGATTGTAGCATTTTACATCCCCAACAGCAGGATACAAGAGTTCCAGTTCCTCCACATCTTGCTTGAGGCCTTTCTTTAGCCACCATCTCCTCAATGTCATTTTTTGTTGCTTCCCTCTCCCCCAGGAGTTTCTTCCCATCTACTCCTTTGGCGGTCTCATTCAGTCTCTTGGCTTTAAATGCCATCTATCTGCTGATGACATCCAAATTTCTGTCTGCAGTCACCACTCTCCCCTGAATTCCAGACTTATCCAGTTTGCCCAGGACAGTTCTGGTTTATGCTTATTATTGTGACATTAGACATTATTATTAATAGTGTTCTATTAATTTTCTATTGGTGCTATAACAAATTACTGCAAACTCAGTTGCTTAAACAAGACAAATTTATTATCTTACAGTTTGGGAGATCAGAAGTCTGATGTGGGTCTCCCTGGGCTAAAATCAAGGTGTCTGGCTGGAATGTGTCTCTTTTTGGTGTCTGTCAGGGAAAGTCTGTTTCCTGGCTCATTCAGGTTATTGGCTGCATTCAGTTCCTTGTGGTTGTAAAACTGAAGTTCCCATCTCCTCGCTGGCAGTCAGCTGAGGGTTATCCTCAGCTTCTGGAGGCCACCCCCATTCCTTAGGTCCTGGGTTCCTTTGTCTTCAAAGTCAGCAAAAGTGAGTCAAGTTCCTCACTTGCCCAATTTCTACTGCCTCTTGTTCTGTCCCACTCTTCCACCTTCCTCTTCCAATTTTAAGGACTTGTGATTAGATTGGGCCCACCCAGATAAACCATGATACTCTCTCCATCTCAATATCCTTAACCTCAATCACATCTACAAAGTCTCATTTGCCATGTAAGGTAAATGTTCACAGGTTCTAGGGATTAGGGTGTGGACAGCCTTGTGTGTGTGTGTGGGGAGGTGGTGTCATTATTCTGTCTACCACAACTGTATTGGACAATTACACAGTCTATGTTCCAGACAACTGTCTACTTGGATGTCTCATGGAGCATTTCAAATTTAACATGTCCAAAAGTGACCTTTTAATTTATTCTACACCAGCGGTTCTCAACCTGTGGGTCGTGACCCCTTTGGCGGTCGAACGACCCTTTCACAGGGGTCGCCTAAGTCCTGTATATCAAATATTTACATTATGATTCATAACAGTAGCAAATTTACAGTTATGAAGTAGCAACAAAAATAATTTTATGGTTGGGTCGCAACATGAGGAACTGTATTTAAAGGGCCAGAAGGTTGAGAACCACTGTTCTACACCAAAACACTGGCCCTCACCAGTCTTCCCCACATTAGTAAATGGCAACATTATCTACCTTGTCAGTCAAGTCTAAAGCCAAAAACTGCCCTGGCCCGTTTGGCTCAGTGGTTAGGGGGTCTCAGGTTCAGTTCCCAGTCCTGGTCAGGGCGCACGCAGGAGGCAACCAATTGGCATGTCTCTCTCACAATGATGTTTCACTCTCTGTCTCTCTCCCTCCCTTCCACTTTCTCTGAAAATCAATGGAAAAAAATCCTTGGGGGATGATTAACAAAGAAACAAACACCAAACAAAAAAGCCAAAGACCTAGGTGCCATTTTGAGGCCTTCTTTTTATTCCCTATATTCAATCGCTCAGCAAATCCTGCTGAGTCCAACTCCAAAATATGTCTTGAATCTATTCACTTCTCTTTATCTTTAAAAATATATATATTTTTATTGATTTCAGAGAGGGAGAGTTAGAAACATCAATGATGAGAGAGAATCATTAATCAGCTTCCTTCTGCATGCCCCCTACTGGGGATTGAGCCTGCAACCCGGGCATGACTGTGACCTCCTGGTTCATAGGTCGACATTCAGCAAGTGAGCCACACCGGCCAGGCAACTCCTCTCCATCTTTATTGCTACTATTCTAGCCTAAGCCATCGTGTCTTACTTGGACTTTGTAACATAGTCTCTTATCTGTTCTTCCCACTCACAGCCTTGCTTCCTTCCAATCTATTATCCACACAGCAACCAGAAGGAAATTTTTACAATGAAAATCAAATTGTATCTTCTCTACATAAAAACCTTCAATGACTCCCCACTGCATTTAGAGTAAAGTCTAACTTCTTACACTGGCCCAAATGGCCACATATGATCTGGCTCTCTATCCAATGTCATCTCATACACTCTCTCACTCACTCACTCACACACTGGCTACACTCACCCATTTTCTGTTCACTAAGTCCTCCCAACTACCAGCACCACTTTGGCATCTTCTGCTTTCTCAGGCAGGAATGTTCTTCCTAGTTCTTTGCATGGTTGGCTCATTCTTACCCTCCAGGTCTCATCTCAAATGTCACATCTCAGAGCGGCCTTCCCTGGCTTCCTGATTTAAAATATTTGCCTCACTCCCACATTATTTCTATAATAAAGTGCCCTGTTTATTTTCCTCATAACATTACAATATGTTGATTTGTTTATTTCTTTATTGATAGCTGCTTTCACTAGAATGCAAGCTCCAGGAGGGCAAGAATGTTATCTGACTTATGTACCACTGTGTCCAGAGTGCCCAGCAGCTGAATAAATACATGAAGCTAGTGTTCTTCCGCTCTCCCAACACCTTTTGCTTGTTTCCATCTCTGTGACACTGCACATGACCTGCCTTCAACCTGCAATATCCTCCAACTTATTCTTTTTTTGTGTTGTTGTTAATCCTCACCTGAGGATATTTTTTCATTGATTTTTAGAGAGAGTGGAAGGGAGGGGAAGAGACACACAGAGAGAAAAACCTCAGTATTAGAAAGATACATCACTTGGTTGGCTACTGCAAGTGCCTGACCAGATCCGGGGATTGAGCTTGCAACTGAGGTACATGCCTTTGATCGGAATCAAACCCGGGACCCTTTAGTCGATGCTCTATCCACTAGCCAGGGCTCCAACTTATTCTTGACCAATTAATATCCTCTCACTTCCTTCAAATTTAGTTCAAGCCCTAGCTGGTTTTTCTGTGTAGAGAGCATCGGCCTGCCCACTGAAGAGTCCTGGGTTTGATTCCAGTCAGGGGTACATGCCCGGGTTGTGGGCTTGATCCCCAGTGTGTGGTGTGTGAAGGCAACCAATCAATGATTCTCTCTCATCATTAATGTTTCTATCGCTCTCTCCCTCTCCTTTCCTCTCTGAAATCAATAAAAATATATCAAAAAACCACTTAGTTTAAGACTCATTACCTCCAAAACACCCTGTTCATTACTGGCCCTTCTCACCTGATGGTCCCGTTAATCATTGATTCAGTAAGTATACACAGAACCCCTTAGCAATTTTGCAAACAGCCGTCACCACATTATCATGCCTTTGCTTGTATTTGCTTTGTAATCATAGTCATTTCATGTATGTAGTTAAGTTTTGTTCCCGAAGACTGTAAGTTACTCCTGGGTCAATATTGCATCACACTTTATATAATTCAGCTAAAGCACTTAGTCCAGTTTGGTGCACACTGCCAGCCATAAAGCAGAACACTCCTTTTATAGCCCAGAGAAAATGCAAATAGCTGGAAGTTCATTTTAGGAACAGAGCTAGTCTTTTAAAGAGTTGTTTTGAAATTAGAAAAAGGAGGCATATGCTTTTCCTCTTTACTTTATTTAAAAATATCAAAATAACAGCTCCAAAAACATTCCTGTGTGTAGCAGTAGCAAGAATTTAGCTATCTATTTCATCCTACCTGTGGAAGAACGCACAGAAGATATGAGGTAAGTAAACTGAGGTTAAGATTTTAGATTTAGTTATAATTTTTTTTGCAGCTTTCAGAATGTCAAAAAGTAGTTCACCTCAAGGGAAATAGAGAATAACAAACATGAACTAGTTACTCCAGGTAAAGAGTTTCCACCTTCCAAACTCTAAAGGATTGGGCTACCAATGAGATTTTCATGTGTATATTAACTGCTATTCCCCATGAAATACAATCAGTCATGGCAATTGGAAAAATGAGTTATTTTGGTATATTTCAATAGGACAAGGTTCTGAGAGTTTAAAGATTTTGGCCAGTATATATTTTACCATAGTTTTATAACTCAGATTAGTAATAATAAGTGACCAACACATAATTTTATTTTGGAAATAAAAAGGTTTAATAGGGAAAATACTTTTAACATACTTGCGTATGTATAAATTAGTATCATAATATTAGATATTTTTAATGCAAAGACTGGCACTATTTGAAAGTATAGTTCTATAAACTTGACATAGAATCTCCAAGGTGGAACAATCCAAAATTTGACTTTTTAAAAATCTGGTAGACATGATTAGCCTAAAGTGTTTGCTCAGTTATTTATGTTTTTTTGGTATGTGTGTCAAATGCTCTATTTGATCCTTTCTAGGCAACTGGGACATCTTCTGAGAATAACTTAAGTTGACTAAATAATTTATTTTCAGGGTAGGCTTGCAAAGCAAGTAAAAAAGGCAGAGAATTCAGGCCACTTACACTGTACATGACTGCAATTCAAAGAAGGCCTTTTGGAGCATAATTAGGCAGTCATGATAAAAACTGCCTTCCTGAAACAAGATTTAAGCCTGGGATGCTTCAAATTTAGCTAAAGGATGGTTCTACTATGACACTCATAACGTTTAAACGTTAAATATTTTCAGTTAGCTTCTGAGAAGGCATAATTTACACTGTGGTGTGTGCACTCAGAAGTCAGCAAAGCTTATGAGTTCCAGAGCGATTATATTAGGAATCCTCAGGTCAAATTGAGCAAAACTAAGCTGATGTGGGTTAGTACAAGCTGTGACGCTGTGACTGAGAGCATGACGTGGTCTCTGCTCAGCCACTTCAACTACATGTTGCTTTGAGGTGTCACAGGAATGCCCTTTCTTTGGTATTGTGTAAATAGCACATATCATTACTGCTAGCTTTTGTTATAAAATCTGGTGGAATGCCATCAGGAGACGGTCATGTTGGGAAACCTTCCTGAGCTGCAGGTGTTCCCAGGGACATCAGTTTGGAGCTCAGAGGTGGCGTATGGCTGAGTCTTCTCATTTCCAAGAGCAGCAGACAGGAGTATCCTCTCCTCACTCCACAGTTGCGCAATTTTGAAGCTAAATTTATCCGTGATTGCAAAACGCCTTCGGTCAGTGCACTTCTAGTTCCATTCAGTTTTAAAGAGTTGGTTTTCTAGAATTTAGTTTTCCAGTTTTGAAGAACTTCTTTAATTCCCGTAATTCCTGGGGTTTCAAACTCTGATCCACCCCTGGGGTCAATTTATAGCTCAGAGGAGACACAATGTAACCATTGTGGTAAAGACAAATTCTCTTGCAGAACTCAAAGGTACCAAACATAACTCCAAAATATGGAACTACCTGGTTAAAAATAAAATGAAAATCATGTTAAAAATCTTAAAAAGTGTCAGTGTGTCTGCAATCAATTTGAGTCAGGATAAACTGAGTTAAAGGCTGTGGATAGTAATTCTTTTTGGGAATCAGAGAGGATAGGGGTGGGGGTGAGGAATGGTAGAGCAGTTGAAGGGCCCTGGAGAACACAGGTCTGGATTAATACGCAGGTAGACAATCTGACACTTCTTGTCAACATATGCTTGTCTTGACTGAAACCATTTATGTGTCAATTAGTACAAGGTTTAGTCCAGAGTTCTTTCTTTCCCTCATAGAACGTAATATGTGAATTTTTTTCTTTTTTCAATCCTCTCCTGAGCATATGTTTAGAGAGTGGAAGGGAGAGAGAGAGAAACATCAATCGACTGCCTCCCGCATGCACTCTGACCAGGGATGAAACCTGCAACCTAGGTAATTGAACCCACTGGGTTCAATTGACCGGGAATTGAACCCACAACCTTTTGGTGTACAGGATGATGCTCCAACCAGCTGAGCCACCCGGCCAAGGCAGTCTAGAGTTCTTAACCTTTTTTTTTGGTCATGGAGTTTTTTTGGAATACAGTGAAAGCTATGGATCCTTTCCCCAGAGAGAGGCACACATGCACACACATCTGCATTTTCGCATACAATTTTAGGATGGAGGGTTAGGTTCCCTTTGGGAGTCCATGAACCCCCATGGTAGGAACCTGTACACTAAATGGTCAGCTCCTTTGGGATGGGGTATCAGATGCCCCAACACTGCACAGGGTCCTCTCTCTTCAGGGCTGACAGCTAGGCTGCACTTGAGGGCCTTGGGCTACCATCAATGCTAGAGGGGACATTTCCATGCAAACTGTCCTAGGAGTGGCAAAGGAACAGGCTAGAACTAGAAGAGGCAGAGAAACAGTAGAGACTGACCACTCTTCTCACCTTCAGTAAGTTGGCTGCCAATCCATTCCAGAGTCCCAGTACCCCATGGGCCTTCACTATCTGCCGGAAGCAGTCCGTGGCTCCTGAGAAATGGACATCTACTCCTCCACAGCGGGGAAGGAAGGGGCTCTGAGCCTGATGGGAAATAGGAGTTGGGATGAGGTGATGTAGTCACCAGGAGATAAATGTTCTAGTCAAATTAGCTAAGGTCTCAAGTCTGGATTCTGGATGCCATGCTCCTGTCTAAGAGGATGGCAAAGAGAAAGGCTGTCATGGGGCTCCTCTTGTTCCATGGGCTTAGAATGAATATGAACATGCAGTAAAGTCATGGCACGTTGCTCACAAATTTGTGGCTTATTTTGCTTGGAAGGAAGCAGCCATTTGGGACAGACTCAACTTTACACTTAACGTTCCTTCCCAACTTATGCCTTCTAGATATGTTCAACACACACTCCCATGCAGTTAACCTTTTTGAAGTGCTCCCGTTTACTTGTCTTAACTGATTCATCCCCTTGTTTATTGTTTACTTTTTAAAATAGTAACAAACTCACAGATACAAAGACATCAATTTTTATTATTTTTTAAGTTGATTGATTGATTGATTGAGAGAGAGATTTGTTGTTCCACTTATTTATGCATTCATTGGTTGATTCTTGTATTGCCCTGACTGGGGATGAAACCTGTAACCTTGACGTATCAGGACGATGCTCTAACCAATTGACCTACCCAACCAGGGTCTCATCCTCACCCCAGGCCCTGCCCCCGCCCCCACTGAACAATAAAGATTAAAAATAAATAAATAAATAAAACCATCCATGATTGGAATCATTCCTAGAGACTGCGATTTAACTGACCTAGGTTGAGACCTGGACATCAGCATTTTGGCCAGCTCCTCAAGTGGTTCTGATGTGCAGCCAGAGTTGTGTAGGCCCTCCAAAGCACAAGGCTGCTCAGGGCTCAGACCTGAATCTCCTAGCTTGCTGCTGATACTGAGAGTGCTTGGGGAAAGTACATGGGCCCTAAAGCCCGACTGCTTGGACTGAGTCCCTGCTTTGCTACTCATTAGCTCCGTGGCCTTGAGCAAATGCCTGAGCTTTCTGAGCTTCAATGTCCTCATCTATCCAATGGGGTAATAATGATACCTACCTTATAGGATTGTTGTCAAGATTAAGTGAAATACATATAAAATGCTTAGAACAGCCTTTGACATATAGCAAGCACTAAAAAGTAACCACCATTATTAATATCATTATTATTTATTATCTAAACTTGGAGAAGAGACAAGTATGCTGAAAACTAGACTGGAATGTTAGACTGCCATTTACCCAAACAGTATCTTCCTAGTAAAGAGAAACAAACATGTCAGGCTGCTAGTCACAGGACCTGAACTTAAACACTCCCCCATGATCCCAGGCACTTATCCCACAGATGCCTAGTTTAGTTCTATAGATCCCAGGATGGGCATGCTGCTTTTTTTTCCCCTTTGAAGTTTGTTACTATTTTTCTTAGAAGACTAAAAGTGAAGGTAACAGTAGGATTAAAAATTGGTAAAATATTTCTAAAACATAACAAACCAATGGACAAAATTATATTAAATAATTTGTAAACCAATCAATAAATCGTATAAAAGTAGGAAAGAGGAAAGTACACTATACAATATTTTTAAACTAAAATGATAAAATGCAGTCAATTGCAACTCATACTCAATATGTGCTAACTTTTGATAGCATTGTAAACCTTCTTTTTTAGTTTTCAGTATATTTTTCTGTTTATTTCTTTTAAAAAATCTTTGCTGAAAGTATTACAGATGTCCCCCCTTTCTTCTCCCTTGTTCCCCATACCCCCTGTTCCAATCCCACCCCATGCCTTCACCACCTATTGTCTGTGTCCATGGGTAATACATACTAGTATATGCATATAAATTATTTGGTTAATGTCTTCTGCCCTCCCCCCCCACTCCCACCCTGAGATTTGCCGGTCTGTTCCATGTTTCCAGGGCATGCTGCTTTTGCAGCATAGCACCATCTGAAAAGAAATCAGAGGACACAGGTCCTACTCCTGGCTGTGCCACTATCTATATAACCTTGACCAAGTCGTTTAGTTCTTTGAATCTAAGTTTGTTCACGTGTCAAGTGAGGAAATTGGAATTAAATGACCTTGAAGGCCCTGTCTTGATCCTATAATCCATGCTGTTGGCCCTACTGTACGTTCCTGACAATAAGCCTTCAAACCTGTCATTTCCTCTGCCCTCTGCCTAGCTGAGTCTCTCTTACTGATCAGAATACATATCACTTCTTCCAGGAAGTCTTCTCAGATCCCCAAAGTCAGGAGTCTAGTAAACACATTTGGTCACCCTGTACTTCTCCTTTATGGCATGTGACACACTCTGTAATGATTTGGTGTATAATTATTTCTTTCATGTGTACTGCCCCCGACAACCCCGGCCTCCTGAGCTGTAAATACCATGAGGGCAGTGACCATGTCTGCCTTGTTTGTGGTTTTATTCTCAAAGCCTATCAACATGCCTGGCATGTAGCATGTGCTTAATACATATTGGGGGAAAGAAGAAGAAAACTTGCAGTAGATCACAATAAAAGACAAATACTTCAAAGCAAGCCAAGCATTTGATGGTTTCTGTGATAAACTTCACAGAGGCCTTCCAGCAGAGGTAACATTTCAGGTTGTTCATTCTTTCCATGAGTACTGAAATAAACAATATTTTATAAACGTATAGAACTCATACCCTTTGACCAAAGCAATCCTACTTCTAGGAATTTATTCTACAGATGTTTTGTTTGTTTGTTTATTTATTTATTTATTTATTTATTTATTTATTTTATTGTCTAATGTTTTACATGTGTCTCCTTTTTCCCCATTTGACCCCCCCACCAGCCACTCCCACCCTGGGCAAGCCCCCACCGCCCCAGTGTCTGTGTCCATTGGTTATGCTAATATGCATGTATACAGGTTCTTTGGTTGCTCTCTAACCCCCCAACCCCTGCCATTTGTCTCTGGATCTATTCTTGTTCATCAATTTATGTTGATCATTATATCCCACATATGAGTGAGATCATGTGATATTTATCTTTCTCGACTGGCTTATTTCACTTAGCACAATGTTCTCCAGGAGAACTGATGTATTTTATAAGGATTTTTGTTGCAGCATTATTAGTAACAGCAGAAAATTGAAAATAATTTAAATGTTCACTAATACGGGGCTAGTTAAAGAAACAGTACATCTGTTATGCTAAGTGAAATAAGTCAGACAGAGAAAGACAAATACTGTATGATTTCATGTAAAAAAACAAAACAGAAACAAATTCATAGATACAGAGAACATTTTGATGGTTGCCAGATCGGAGGGGGATTGGGGAGATGGGTGTAAAGGGGAAATGGCTAATATCCATAGCACTGACACCATCAAAATGCTGGCGAGTGTGTAGAGCTACAGGAACTCTCATTCATTGCTGGTGGGAATGCAGAAAACCGTATAGCCACTTTGGAAGACAGTTTGGCAGTTTCTTACAAAATGAAACATTATGCTAGATCTTGGTATTTACACCAATAAGTTGAAAAGTTATGTCCATACAAAAACCTGCACATGGATGTTTATAGCAGCTTTATTCATAATTGTCAAAGCTTGGAAACAACCATGATGTCCATCGTTGTCCTTAGGTGAATGGATAAATAAACTTTGGTACATTCAAACAATGGAATATCATTCAGTATGAAAAAGAAATGAGCTATCAAGCCATGAAAAGACATGGGGAGAACTAAAATGCATATTACTATGAAAAAAGCCAATCTGGGTGCAGCCACTGTGGAAAGCAGTATGGAATTACCTCAAAAAATTAAAAATGAACTACCATATGACTTAATGATTCCACTTCTGGGAATATATCCGAAGAAACCTGAAATACCAATTTGAAAGAATATATGCACCTCTGTATTCATTGCAGCGTTATTTACAGTAGCCAAGATTGGGAAGCAGCCCAAGTGTCCATCAGTTGATGAGTGGATAAAAAGCTGTGGTACACCCTAGCTGGTTTTGCTCAGTGGATAGAGCATCGGCTTTCAGACTGAAGGGTCCCAGGTTTGATTCTGGTCAAGGACACATGCCTGGGTTGCGGCTCAATCCCCAGTAGGGGGCATGCAGGAGGCAGCTTCTATCTCTGTTTCCCTGTCCCTTCCTCTCTGAAATCAATAAAAATATATTTTTTAAAAAGCTGACGTACATTTACACAACGAGATATACTCAGCCATAAAAAAATAGGGAAATCTTACCCTTTGCAACTGCATGGATGGACCTGGAGAGTGTTATGCTAAGTGAAATAAGCCCGTCAGAGAAAGAAGAGTACCATATGATTTCACTTATATGTGGAATCTAATGAACAAAGTAAACAAACAAAATAGAAACAGACTCAGATACAGAGAACAGAATGGCAGCTATCAGAGGGGAGGGGAGTTGGGAGGTTAGGTGAAAGAAGTGAAGGGATTAAGCAAAAATCACACATAATTCATAGACACAGACAACAGTATGGTGATTATCAGAGGAAAGTGGGCTAGGGGGAGGTAGAAGAGGGTAAGTGGGGGGGATAAATGGAGATGGAAGGAGACTTGACTTGGAGTGGTGAACACACAATACAATATACAGATGACATATTATAGAATTGTACACCTGAAACCTATATAATTCTATTAACCAATGTCACCCCAATAAATTCAATAAAAAGGAAATGACTTAAAAAAGAAAGTAAAAAGCCAATCTGAGAAGGCTACATACTGTATGATTCCAACTATATGACATCTTGGAAAACTATGGAGACAGTAAAAAGATCGGTGGTTGCCATGGTTTGAGGGAGAAGGGAAGGGTGAATAGGCAGAGCAGAGCATTTTTAGGGCAGTGGAAATACTCTGTATGATACTATAATGAAGGATACAGGTCACTGTTAGACATGAGCAGAGCAAAGACGATGGGCCAGGTACAGAAACTCACCAGGGAAGAAAGCTCTGGATGCCTAGCAAGGGGCAAAACTGGGAAAACAAGAACCTTGCCCCCAGGGTAACCCTTTCTCAGTCGGCATATCACTGGTCATGCCGCTCGGGCCCCTGATCTTTCATATCACTGATCAGGC